AGCTGGTGTAGGGGTTGACAGTGTCCCTTGGGATGTTCACCAGAGACGCCTTTAGAATCTCCTTCACCTCCACTGCTACAGTCACATCATGGCACTTAGTCTTCAACTCTTTAACTTTAGCCCGAATTACATAGTTATAATTGTTCCGGAAATAGGTCTTCTGCTTAGCTCTGATAGGCTTACATTTGCAGCGTTCACTGCTGGCCCCTCTACAGTTTCCATTAGTAGAATCCGTAGGAAAATTGGCTCTGTCCGCCGTGATGATGGCCTCGGGAGATATGGACACGCCCCGGTCGGTCGTACACCGGCAGCTCCTCGCAGGCCAGGCTCTCGGGATGAGGATGAGCTCGCGGCCCGCTCGAACACCGACTTGCAGGGCTTGATGGGCTTGTGCTGGAAGTCAGTAGTGCAGATGAGCGCGCACATGGCGCAGAGGAAAAAGCAGATCGGGGCTGCAGCGGGTGCCCAGCACCCCTTCGAACTGCTCGATGTCCAGGATGGCGTTGGCCTGCGTGCTGTGGTGCAGGTGGTTGGGCATCTTGGTTATGTTCCAGGGCAGAGACTTGCACAGGGGGAGGGACACGGGCTCGCCGCCGCCCGGGCCGCGGGTGCGTGGAGCAGGCAGAGCGCGGCCAGGGCGAACAGCGAGGCGCCGCGGGCTCCGTGGGCGCCGCGGGCCATGGTCCTGCGGGACGCGATCCGCCTGCTCCAACGCCCGCCGCAATCTGGGCGCCTCTCCTCCCGCGGCAAAGTCACGGCTTCCTCGGATCGGATTCCCCCAATGGGGTCCTACGGGCCCCGCTCGCACCGCCTCGTCTGCGCACCTATTGACTCCGCGCGCCCGGCCAGAGCACCAGCCTATCGGCCGTGCACCGGGGCGACGGTGGACAAACAAAAGCACGGCGCTCGCTGAAGGTAGCGGGGCCCCACTCTCCATTTTGCATCCTGTTCCCCTTCTCACATCCGACTGAGAGCTTTGTGTTTTTTTCCTCAAATTCTTTTATTGGTACATTTTAGGTATATAATACATTTACATTTATCATTGGGTACTTATACCTGTGCATGATGTATCGTGGTTCTTATTTTTTCCCCATTCCCTGTCCTCCCTTCACCCCCTCCACCCTTCCCTATTTACAAAGACTTTGTTTCCATTATTTCCTTTTCTCATTTTTTCCCTTTCCCTTCTTTCCTTTCCCCTCCCCTCCCACTTCGCCTACCCCTTTGGACCTTTTCTTGGGGTGGGGGGCTTATAAAAGCCCTTTTATAAAGCCATTTTTAAACAAAACAAAATGTTTACAAAAGAAATAAAAGATGCAGAAAAAGAATAACTTGCTTCGAATGTCCCCAAAGAGAAAAATAAAGGGGACAGTGCCAACATGCTCAACGATAAGGGGTTCTTTTTCTTATTTTTTTAATACAAAATACAAGCAAAGGATACACATACTTAAAACAAAGCTCAGTAGGGGCTCGGGATTTAGCTCAGTGATTCTACCACCTGCCACGAAGGCGCAAGGTCCCGAGTTCAATCCCCGGAACCAAAAAAA